GGTGGGGGGCCTCCCCGTGAGCCGGGCTTTGCCCGCAGCCGTGGCCCTCTCCTGACTCCTGCCCCCCAGCACCGCCCCCTGGATCTGGGGAACTGGCCCCGTGGCCCAGAGCGGGCTGGACACAGGACAGGAGGGCAGGGCCCTGGGCATGGGGGAGATGACCTCAGCTGGGAAGGAATCTCATTGTTCCCTAGGGGTGGGGTGCGGGGGAGATCGACCTCCCTTGGGGGTTCAAGCAGCTTCGACTTAACTGTCTGCCTGCTTCGCTTCCACCTGAGTCCATCCGCTACCTTGTGTGTGTCCTTCCGTCTCTCATATGTAAAATACCTGTCTGGCGGTGGTGTGACACAAGGGAACGCTGGAGCCAGGACTCTGTGCCCAGAGCCTAGGCTGGGCGGGGCGGTCCAGCCGCACCTCCTGAGGCTGCCCTGTGGGCCTTAGGTTCACTCTGCCAGCTCACGGACTGGCCGAGAGCACAGGGCCAGCCACAGGGGTTGAAATCCAAACTGGCACTGCTTACCTGTGTCGGGCTCAGGAAGTTTCTTAAACATCCTTTGCACCCATTTCCGTTCTCCACAGAGGGACTAGGACCCCCCCCACACACACACACACACACACAGAGTCGCGGTGAAGCCTGGCCCAGCCAAGCACAGCATAAATCAGTGTCTGCGCCTCAGCATCGGGGTGCCCGGGCAAGCAGTGGGGAGATGCAGAGCACGAACCCTGACTCCCGGTCCCACCCTGCTCTGCTCCCTCCGGGGGTGCCAGGCCCACCCTCTTCTCTGTCCTGACCCCTAGGAAAGCACAGGGTAGGGTGCCCACACTCTCTTCGGGGCCCACGGTGGAGTTGTCCACGTTGACAGGCTGGTCCAGGCCAGGCCTGTAGTCTTGTGTCACCGAGGGACACTGCTCTGTAATTGTGTCACTCCTGTCCTCCGAGTGGGTCAGTAGGCTGCAGACTGAGTGACTGTGACCGTTACTGCCTCTCTGAGCTGCCGCCACACAGAGTAACTAAAGCCACCCAACCATTCTCAGGTTCACAACACCGTGAACTTGGCACAGTGCCTAACATCACTGCTGCCACCTCGCCTGCGCCAGGCAGAGCCAGGCAGGGTCAGGTAGGGCCGGGCAGGGTCAGGCAGGGCCAGGCAGGGTCAGGCAGAGCCAGGCAGGGTCAGGTAGGGCCGGGCAGGGTCAGGCAGGGCCGGGCAGGGTCAGGTAGGGCCGGGCAGAGCCAGGCAGGGCCGGGCAGGCTCCCTCTCAGCAGTTAGACGCGGCCCCAGCAACAGCCTGAGGCCTCACTGCTGATGCGGGGATGTGTTTTGCAGTGCATGCCCTTCATTCCTGAAGCCCAGGCCATGCTGGAGCTGCTGGACCAGTGCCCCAGACAGGTCGAGAAAGGCAGGTTCCCAGTCATCGTCATCGAGGGACTGGATGCCACAGGTAAGAGGATGCCCCCTGTTAGTGATGGCAATGGGATTAGTCCATCAGTTGCAGGAATAGAGAGGTCTTGCCAAAGAAAACCATATAGAGTTCAGATAAGATGGCAGCCTCTGGTGTGTGCCCTCAGGGAGGCTGGGCAGGCCTGGGGCACCGAGATGCATACACCCTTCCCTGGGAGGCCCTGGGGGCCTGGGGCATTGAGCCTCAGCTGGCCATGGAGGGCACTGAGTGCAGCCTGGGCACAGAGGCCAGGGGCCCAGAGGCAGGGTCAGGGAGAGCTCAGAGGGGTTGACAGTGGGGTCGTGGGTTCAGTCCAGAGAGGGGTGGTCAGGCGAGGAGGGCAGGATGGGTCCTCCCAGGAGGAATCAGCACAGGCGAGGAGTGAACCCTCAGCCACCATGGTGAGTCCGGAACCGCAGGCAGACCAGAGGCCCCTTTGGGAACAGGAG